ATAAAGAACAGCCCAAGAGTTGGTAGTGGGTGGTATTTCTAACTACCTTCCCTCTACTCTATCACTTCAAATTAGGGACGGCTTGAGCAGATAGTTCTCGAGTAGGTTAGCACGAGATTCGACAAACAAAGTTTCGAATTATTCATTCGTCTTGAAGTCGTCCAGCTGATAGAATGCAGCCTATTACATTAGTATCATTTAGCCTTGTATCTGCGTTGTTAACTAAAGAAATGATCTCATGCTATATTACTCAGTGAAGAACACCGACACACTTTTACGTTAACTGGACTTAACAGATTGTTGGATGAATAATTTAATGTTACAGAGTTCTTGCGAGTGAAACGTGAAGCGTTGTCATATTCAAAATAAGGGCTGAAAATTCTTTGTGTGAAATGTGCAGCACTGTTTTGTTTGAAATGAGGAGTGAAAATTCTTGTGCATGAAATCTGAAGCGTTGTCATATTCAAGAGAATAAATGAAAGTTGTTTTTGTGAAATGTGCAACACTGTCCTATTCTAAATGAGGGGCGAAGATCTTTGTGTGAAATCTGGAGCGTTGTTGTATTCAAAATAAGGGTGAAAGTTTTGTGTGTGAAATATGAAGCGTTGTTGTATTCAAAATAAGGGGTGAAAGTTTTTGTGTGTGAAATATGAAGCGTTGGTATATTCAAAATAATGGGTGAAATTTCTTGTGTTTGAAGTGTGAAGCGATGTCATATTCAAAATAAGGTGTGAAAGTTCTTCTGGGTGAACTGTGAAGCGTTGTTATATTCCTTTTTCAGAGAACGTAGTGGTGGAAGAAAAAAAAATAAACCGATACAGACATCTTAAAAGAACCGCTGCATTCTTAGTCTTACAATAGTTCTTTGTTATTATATCAACTCTGAATTACACGTACTAAAACAATCCCATCTTATGTACGAGTTATCGAACGGTTATACTAAAACTTGATTGGCATGTTTCGGTAGCACGCCAGGTTAAATTTCGTGTTTTATCTACAATTAAAATCATTATTTTCAAGGCAGTAATATAAGGTCCATTTGTTTCAACATATACAAGTTATACATTCACCCGATAACCGAAACATTCTAAAAGATGACTGACTTTTTGTGTTGCCAAAGGTGGTATAGTTAAGATATCGTGTGGACTGGCTTAAGTGAGGTGGGACATGGTGGTTAGTTCACTCAACACGCAATCTACGGATTACGAGTTGGAGTTCCGTCACTGAGGATTCGAACCCGCGACTCGCATATTACGAATTGAGCGCCTTAGCTACCAGGCCATGCCAGGCTTTGACGG